CCCCCGATTCCCTACGAAGCCTTCAACCCTAAACCCTAAACCCCTAAACCCCTAAACCCTAAACCCTAAACCCTAAACCCTAAACCCTAAACCCTAAACCCTAAACCCTAAGCCCTAAGCCCACAATCCTCATCGAGCACTTTCGACAGCGCCGGGTGCCGCTTGAGCCTCGCTCCGAGGCCATCGGCGCCTCGCAGTGTGCGCTCGGTGGCTCCGGGCTTTTTAGGGTTTAGGGGTTTAGNNGGGTGTAGGGCTTAAGGGTTTTAGGGTTTAGGGTTTTAGGGTTTTAGGGTTTTAGGGTTTAGGGTTTAGGGGTTTAGGGTTTAGGGTTTAGGGTATTTAAGGGTTTAGGGTTTAGGTTGTGTTCTCGGGAAAACAGAGTTTTTTGTGTCAAAGCGTACTTTGGGGGTTAAGGGTTTTTCAAGCTTTGACAAGTTGCATCGACTTGTAGTTTGGTTCAGGGCCTTGGGTTTAGGGGTTTAGGGTTGCCGAGGACATGGGGAGCATGATTGGATCGTTTCAGGAGAAAGGTGCCGTGCAGCAGAACGGATGAATCTGCATACCACGCGATGCTATATAGGCTTCCGGGAGACCCAGCTATGGCCTACTTTTTTCAGTACAGCATACTCGCTTCACGGCGGATCACCCCGCATAACCCCGTAAAAAGCAAAGTCCATGCATCTACAGAGGTCTCGATCCGACATCGCAGTAGTTCGTCGTCGGCCGTCGTCGTGGGAGGAGGGCAATGTCAGGCGACAAAGTTGTAGCGCATCCATACAGTAGCTCAGGGCTTAACTTTGAAGGCCTGAAATCTAAATCCTAAATCCCGAAGCTAAACTACCTACCTGGCCAGCTGCGGCGTTAGGGATTATGTAGGCGACAGAATAACTAGTAGTCCCTTCATGTTATACTATAACAGACCCCGAAACCTCATTCAAACTATTATTTAAGGCCGCCACATTAGCTGATGCCGGATGCCAGGAGACACTTTGCGCAATCCCTGGCAAGAGGAAGTTCCAGCTCTGCCACGGCCTCACTAGCCCGGTAGAAGCGCATCCGAAAGTTTAGGGCTTGAGGGCTTAGGGTTTAGGGTTTAGGGGTTTAGGGCTTGAGGGCTTGGGGTTTAGGGCTTGAGGGCTTAGGGATTAAAGTGTCTTGCCTGAATCTTTCTTCTTGCTAGTCCGGAATCTTCATATAGATCAAAACCCATCGTTCTCTATTTGGACGCTTCCTGTTCAAAGCACGGATTGAAGATGCCATGACGAGGTGGTGTTGCAGGCCAGCTAACCCTAAACCCTAAACCCTAAACCCTAAACCCTAAACCCTAAACCCTAAGCCCTAATTAAACCCTAAACCCTAAGCCAATGCTTTTCTCTGTGGCTTCAAGCCCAGAGCCGACTGAGGCTGGACTGCACCGACGGCACGCGAGTGTGCGTGGGGCGCCAAGTCGCAATCCAGAGATTGGTCCAGCGCAGACGTGTTTCCTAAAGCCTAAAGCCTCACCCCCTGAAAACAAGACAAGAGCAAACAACGCAAACTACTTCCCCCACTAAACAACAGACGCCAGAGCCCCACACATGAAACCGTCGGGGGCTTTGATGGAGATCCCCAAAGCTTTCAGCGCACCCAAGCAAGGCCCGTCCGCCGCTACATCGTTGCGGCCTTCGACCCGGCGTGACTTCGACATGTAAATTCCCAGAAGCTTGCTTGTTAGAGCAGGTCTACAAGTCAGAGCTGGCTTAGGTGCGATGTTGAGAGTTTAATGTTACGGTCCGTTTAATAACCCCCCCCTGAGGTTGTTTTGCGCGAGGGGTCTCTGGGGGCAGGGTTTGGGTGGGGGGGGTGGCAATAGTGAATATCTGGCCGTGTCTGGGGTTGATAGTAGTACTAGTATTAATAGTAGTAATAGTAGTAATAGTAGTAATCGTTGTAATCGTAGTAATCGTAGTAATCGTAGCAATAGTAGCAATAGTAGTAATTGATAGTAGTAACAGTAATAATAGTAACTAGCAGTAGTAATAAGTTGACTCTCCTGGGATTTTGCAGCACTCTGGCTTTCTGCTGGCGCCCCCTCTGGCCCTCTTCTGGACTGCTCTGCCCTCTGCCCTCTGTCGTCACTTGACTGATGTAATTAAGTGGTTTCTACTGCACTCTGCTGGTTGAGTTTAGGGTCCTACTAGTCTCGGCTGTTGGTAGTTTCTTTGCATGGCAGCCTGTTTTTTACGGGGATTTTAGGCGGGGAGTATTTTTATTGTCACCCCTTTTACTAGTCTGACCCTAGGTCTAAGATCATTGGTTTACGATAAACGGGCTTTGGATCTCTGCGCAATTGAAAGTAGTCTTCCGCCTGGAAACGCTGGCCCGAGGAGGTATTTTTATTGCCACCCGAAACATTAAATGGATCGTAACATTATAGGGTTTAGGACTTGAGGTTCAGAGTTTTAGTTTGGGGTTTCCTGGTCTCCGTTTGGTGCAATAGCAGATGCTGGCAGCCTCGTGACGTTTCAAGCGCAAACGGCGATGCGGTTGTTTCTGTGCCAGCTGCATGTGACGTCGATGTCCGAGATCCGTTTATTCAGCAAGGATCCTGTACTCAGATTCCTAGTGTGCACATGTTGGAAATAGGGAACACTGGAACACGTTATGACATGATGTGCTATGCTCTTTTGGCTGTGCCAGTCGGTGTAGTTGATGCTGTATGTTCTGCACAACGTGCAAGCCTGCACGGTCGGTCTCGTTGTTTGTTTCACAATTTTCAGGCCACAGGAACCTTCTGGGCTTGCTAATATAGGGGCCTTAATAATTAGAAAAGGGTTTTGGGGTATATCATATGCCATAATTATAATGAGGAGCCCCCCAAAATAGTATAGGCCATCATCTACGCCCCTACATTACGGCCGCCGTGCAGGTATGGCAAAGCGCTGACCGTCACGGTACTCGAGCCGGATTACAGCCAGGAGTGGCTGTCATGTAACCCAGAGTTTCGGGTGGCTTTGTGGGGATTTTGGGTTTAGGGTTTAGGGTTTAGGGTTTAGGATTAAGGGTTTAGGTTTATGGGCTCGAGTGTCGCCGAATCGAATCGAATCTCGCGCAGCAGTGGCTGGATTTGCTTGGCCTCTTTTTCCGGCCATATATATATGTATATAACTATGTATAAATATACACGTAATTTGGATATATATATATATGTATATCCATATGTACATTATATATATATATATATATGTCTATGTCACTCTCTGTCTCTCTCTGTCTGTCTCTCTGTCTCTCTCTCTCTCTCTCGTCCTTCTCTTTTCTTCTCTCCTCTCTTCCTTCATCCCCTTCGATAGATACTTCTGCGAGAAATTCTCCCGAGTCCCAGAAAAATGTCAAAGCTCGCAGCGGCCAGCTTGTTAGAGCTTAGGGCTTAGAGTCAGCTACGGCCTGCGGTTTCTGCTGCCTCATATCTCAAACACCGCAGCTGTGAATCCCCAGGCCTGCTCACTTCGCCTGCCCTGCTCTGAGTTAAAGTCCGGTTTAGGGTTTAGGGTTTAGGGTCTAGGGTTTAGGATTTAGGGTTTAGGGTTTAGGGTTTAGGGGTGCATTAGCTCAGAGACTTCAGCAAGGAGTTGCGCAGCTTCGTGCCCATCGAGAACCTCACATCGTATGCCTGAGCCTAAATAAACGACTGCATGAACAGATCACATCGCGATGCTTACCTTTGCTTCAAGCCTAGACCGAGCCCAGTATATCCTTAATCAAGCGTGTAAAGAAGGAGTGCGAATCTGCGATACTAGAAAGTAACATCCTCATCTTCGGCCCCAAGCCCCATATACCCTTGGCACCTGAGACCCTGAATATCTCATACCTCCCCTAGGCTTTGGTACAATGCTGTACCAGGCCTATGGCAAGCCAAAGCCGCAACCTTCCAATTCCTCACAAGGGCTGGGAAACTCTTTGTAGAACGTACCAGCCCCTGAGCGCACAAGCCCCATCCTAAATTCCCCTTACACTCTAAACCCTGAAACCCTGAAGCCCTAAGACCCTAAACCCTAAGACCCGAGTTCTCCGAACGCCTAAACCCTAAACCCTAAACCCTAAACCCTAAACCAAACCGAAACTTCCTCTGAAGCCGAAATCCGAAGCTGCCCACTGTCAGCCAAACTTGCTCTAGTGAACGTTGGGAAACTGGTTTCAGCTTCTCCCCACCAAAGCATGGGGCATGCCGGCATCATGATTTTTTTTTCCCGTTTGCATAATTTGCTGGGGTTTGCCGTATGTATCAAGCAAAGCTGCCGCTTTCCGAGCTTTTAAAGTTCGATGAATCAAGCCACAGTCACAGGGGTTACGGCTATTGGGTTACAGGCTTACCCTAAACCCTAAACCCTAAACCCTAAACCCTAAACCCTAAACCCTAAACCCTAAACCCTAAACCTTAATGTAGGAACCCAGGGGTTCCTGATTACCCAACACCCGTCAAAGAGCCCCAAAGTAATAGGATGCATATTCTCAGACCCCTAGTAAGGGACGCAAGGTTTGATAGCAAAGTTTCTACACTAGTATAGGGGCCTTAAGAATTACCTATACTATCTTGGGGGTTCCTTATTATGGTTAAAGTATAGTCTACCCCAAAACCCTATTCTAATTATTAAGGTTCCTACATTACCATGATCTTGTGAGCCCAAGAGCTGGGCTTGAGAACTCGTCGCTGCTTCGGAGTTCAGGAGATTGACCATAGCTGGAAGTAGTATAGGGGGCCGTCAAGAAACCAATAGCTGCCATTCCCGAGGATTGCTTGTGATTGTTTTGTTGTAGTAAAAGAGACCCCAAGGCCTTATTCTGACAATTAAGGCCCCTACAGTATACCAGCTCCCATTGCATACCGTGCACTGCCGCATTCACAACCTTGTCGCATGCGGTTTGATAACGCGAGGTCATGGCTGAAGAGGACAGGGAACGCTGCTCGCTCCCCTTTAGATATTAATCAGGTTCCATAACATGTAAACCGTAGGCCATCCACGGGGATCTCAGTCTGTGTTAAGCCTGCCACTGGGAGAACGTGGTTGTTAAGGTAATTGTAGGGTTTTGAGCACAGTGTCCAAAACAAGTTTCGATTGGAGGGCTTGGTGGCTTGTGGTTAAATTATTGAAGAAAACTTTTCAGGCTTCATGTGACATACCGGATCGAAAGCTTTATAAGCCTCAGGCCCGTAAGACCGTGCAAAGAATAAAGGCGCCGAATGACAGCAGTACTCACAAGCGCCGACGCCGGCTTGAAGCCTAAACTCGTAGAGTCTACACCTAACCCTGAATACGGCAAGGCTGTATCGCAAGCATGTAGGTCGTAAACCCTTTGCCCTGGGACCTCAGACCAGGAACCTCCAGACCCAATCGATGAACACGGCTTAGGGTTTAGTGTTTAGGGTTTAGGGTTTGTTGAATCAGTGGACACAGAAAGATGCAGCATACCCTGGTATTCCTCATGACTGGATGCCAGGGAAACCATCTTTCACGTGGCATTGAACGAGACAAAGCAACTGAGGCCGACCATCGCAGCTCACGTGAGCATTATCGCAATATGACAACCAAAATGTCAATATGAGCCATAAACCCTAAACCCCAAACCCAAAACCGTAAACCCCAAACCCAAAACCCAAAATCATAAACCCTAAGCGCTAAACCCAAAACCTACACATCAAACTTCAGGGCCGGTCGTGCCGATGCGTACACAGAGACAAATGACTGAAGAAACCAGCAAGAATGTTTAGGGTTTAGGGGTTTAGGGTTTAGGGTTTAGGGTTTAGGGTTAAGAATGTCCTCTTGTAGTCCCGATGTAGCTTTATATTGTACTATGTGGCTGATTTTTTATATAGTGTACCATATAGCTTTTGCCATGCATACCTTTAACGACTCGTAAAAGGCGTCGAAGGACCTGTACAAGACCTTGCAACCCCCTATGACGGATCCCCTGCACCAGAAAAAGTTTTCAAGAAACCATAGCGACCCCAGCAAACCAAAAGCCCTCGTCTGATTACAATAACACCCTAAGCCCCAAACCAACGATGTTGAAACCTTAAACCCGAAACCCTCCACCCTAGACCCCAATCTAACCATTATAAGACTTTAAGGTAGAACCCATGGGCCCCTAGTATGGGCCCTTAACCCTGGGACCCTAATATACCGACTATATACCCTATATATACACTTAAGGGACCCTAGAGTCCCCTAGGGGCCCATGTTAGGGGCCCATGGTTCAACCTTAGAAAGTTTAGGGTTTAGGGTTTAGGGTTTAGGGTTTAGGGTAAGAAGGACCTACAGAAGATGCCGAAGCTTTGGACGCAGAGCGTTCTCACCGTTCAGGTGCCCAAAAGGGGGGCCCCCAAGCCACCCTGCAAGGTACTTCTTTAAATGAAAAGGGACCCTAAACCCTAAACCCTAAACCCTAAACCCCTAAACCCTAAAATGACAAGGGTTCCAGGTTTTAGGTTTAGGGCTTAGGGTGTTCGGGCACATGGGGAGTGTAGAACTTGTACGTAAGTATGTACCGAAGTGCTTTTGAAAGGGGATGTTTGTAGGATGTTCAATTTGCAAGGTTTCGTAAGGCTTCATGAAGTTCAGGAGGCAATCATGGTCGAACTACAGGGTTGTTTAGTTCGGGGCACTCTTGGAAGGCTTAAACATGTCATGTGTGGGGCTTTCTCAGCTTTTGTTTTTGGTCGTTTGAAGTGCAGCCATCTCCGTCAGCCACAACGCGTCTGGTCAGTACAAGTACTCCTGGACATGAACTGCCGCTCTTCAGCCCCGTGATAACTAATTGTAGCCCTGCGCGCCTCTGCTCAAGACTTCCTGATTATAAATCATAGTATAATGGGAACCCTGTTCTTCCTTATCATAATTATGGTATGGCCCCAAAACCCTATTCTAAATATTGTCTAGGCCGGTAGGATGACTATCAATATTCCAAACGGCCCCTCAGTAACGTTACACGAAACTATGGCCCAAAGGGGCTGTTCGAATTTTCAGGGTTTAGGGTTTAGGATATGGCCCAAGCCGTCTAAGCACAAGTTCAACTGCCGAAAAGGCCCAAGAACCCAAACGCCCCTCCAGAATCCCAGCAGCCCAAGTTGTCCTACGTGCAGGCACCGAAGCACCTCGAAACCCTGAGCTTCTAAGGCTTGGGAAGCTTGAGCCTTTAATTCTTTGAAATCCTTCAAAACTGAAGATGCCAAAGAAGACAAATCCCCCCTAAACCCTAAACCCTAAACCCTAAACCCTAAACCCCAAAGCCCCAACGCTGGAGCCTTGAAGTCCGAAGGCACCGTTTTTAGCTTAGTTAAGCAGCCTTCAAGCTGGATGAAGCACCATCCTACATGAACCCACAAGAGGCTAACCCTTGGATCCTCTAGTGGCCTAAACCCTAGAATTTGATATAGGTGCCTAAATAAATACCTAATATTATTAGGGTTCCTTATTATAAATTATAGTATAATGGGCCCCAAAACCCTATTCTAACGATTCAAGGCCCCTATATTACCCGCCAGCAAAACCCGGGGGCTTCGGCCAGGTCGCCGCCGCCAATGAAGCCGGCCAGTCGCCGTGGACGACGCACAAGGCACAAGCGGTTTTGGGCTCTAGGATTTAGCGTGATTCAAGGTTTAGGTGCCTTACAACTATGGGCGATTGTCTTGGGGGTGGGGTTGCGGTTGGTGTGGGTGTGTAGTGGTGGTGCGGCGGTGTTTGCAGCATGTGCTTGATGGTTGTGGTGTGGGCTGTGCTGCATGTTTGTTGTTTGTCTCTGTCAACATCCTCGCTCTGAGGCTTGAAACGAGTTACAACATCGAATCCCAAGTAACCCCCCCCATACTAAAGGACAGCAGTCTACAATGGGCTGCTTTTCGAAGTTCGCACTCTTTCCAGGAGTGTAAGCCGCTATCACACCAAAGTCACACCGTCGAACCGATAAATGAGGAGTGCGCCAAGAAGTATGCAACAAACAAGAAGTAGCTGTCAGCATCAGAATGGCCAGTACGGACAGTCCTCACTGAACGACCACATGCGAAGCCGCACAACTTGGTTAAACAAATCGAATCACATTACATAAAAACAAGCCGAAACACTGCTACAAATGCGGACAAGAGCATCAGTACTACTGCACTACAACAATCCAAACTATAAGTTCCCTCGTAGGAACAGATCAGCGTTGGACTCCGACTCCAAGATCGTAGAAGAAGCGAGACCTTAGTTGTAATGATACAGCGGCACCAGCAACAAGAGAAACATCGTCCTGCAGGGCTCTTCTGCCCGAGAGCCCCTCAACCCCAAAGCCGAAACCCTCAAGCCATTTGGTCCTCAGATTTCTTTGAATGCGCCCGTTGGCGCCGGCAACACCGAGCCGCCGACACTCGTCTGCTTGATCTTGGGATGTACCGGAGCCCCAAAATCCTAAACCCTTAACCCTAAACCCTAAACCCTAAACCCTAAACCCATGTTCACGCAAGGCGAGAGTGTACGAGGGCTGTCTAACTGAGGGATTTCCGCTCCAGGGCCTGGGGTCTAAGGCTTCGGGTTTAGTTTTTTGGGATGGGCTATCAGGGGTTTAGGGTTTAGGGTTTAGAGGTTTAGGGTTTAGGGGTTTAGGGTTTCCTGGTTCTTAGGATGTAAGTAAGGAACTGGTGAACATTTATTTACCCCTACGAAGGCGAGGGCTCAGGAGCAACTGCAAAGGCCAGGGAGTTCGACCTTGCAATCCCCCAAGTCCGCAGAATATCACTATGGTCATAAATTCCTTGCGTTAGGTTTAGTTTCGGGTATGATATAGCAGCTACTATCATATAGCAAGATGCCGCTTGGTATGATGATGAGAACTGTTGTGATGATCACTAGAGCTCGTCTTGCCTCACCTGAGCTACCCTCCGGGTACCAAACCCCGAGAACCAGGCCCTACACCCTAAACCCTAGACCCTGGACCCTGAACACTAGACTCTAAACCCTGAACCCTCAACCCTAAACCCTAAACCCTAAACCTAGGCCCTGCTTCGTGCCGCCCGCAGCAAAAGCGGCGCCGCCCAGCTTTGCCAGCGCGGCTGCGGCGCGGAAGCAGCAGAGGCACCGAGTTTCGGGCTGACTTGCATCAAACCACGGTTTAGGGTTTAGGGTTTAGGATTTACGGTTTACGGTTTAGGGTTTAGGGTTTACCTTTTAGGGTTTAGGGTTTAGGGTTGTAGGGTGTAGGGTTTAGGGTTTAGGATTTAGGGTTTAGGGTTTAGGTTGTAGGGTGTAGGGTTTAGGGTTTAGTGTTGAGGGTTTAGGGTTTGGGGTTTAGGGTTTAGAGTTTAGGGTGTAGGGTGTAGGGTGTAGGGTTTAGGGTGTAGGGTTTAGGGTGTAGGGTTTAGGGTGAAGAAACCGGTGCTGCCTTCTTTGGTTTGGTGTTCTGTCGTTTTCCTTAATCTCGTGGATATGCTAGCTACTGCTGTTGCAATATCTGCGGTTTTGTATGGTCTTGTGCTCGTACAGCCTAGACAGACATGGCAAAAAGTGCGTATAATTTCGTGATGTTCAGTAGCATCTGTAGTGTACAAGATCTTCAGCTCTGAATGATGGCGTCATGGTTTTGTTCGGCATCAATGTGAATGTTCGTGCCGTGTAAATGCCTCCAAGGCAACGCCACAATGGCTGCTCAGACTATGTGGACATTGTGAGTGCTAGGGATTTATTATGCTTACTTGCCATATCTCCTCGTACGTGAACCTCAAGCTGATCTAGTCGAAACCCAGAAACCACCTGTACCCTAAATTCCAAAACTTCAGGCCCTTCAACCCCCGCGACCCTGAGCCGTTCAACCCAAAACTCCAGCTGAAAGCCCTAAACCACCGCGTTCATCGGAAAACCCAACCTGCACAGTGCTCCGGACGAGAGCGAAGTGGCCTCTTTCAATTTGGAGCTGCCTCTTGTCGTTCAAGGATCTATGTTTTCAGGGTTCTGAAAGTTCAGACGTTTGTGTTTTTTTCAGGTTTTTGGGGTGTGAGTACCTGAGCCCAAGACCTCAAGCCGTTCTGATATCCAGCGTTCTGCGGAGTTACGGATGCAGGAGGTGGAGGGCTTGAAGGATTTCTGATGTTTCCAGGTTCAGTGAACCACCAAAGATTCCTGCGACCGGAAGACTTCCTGGAATTGTGTGAGCAGCAAGGGTCTTTGACAAAGATGTCTAAAACCTTGAACCCTTAAACCCTAAACTCTGAACCCTAAGCCCATAAATCCCAAACTCTAAACCCTAAGCCCTCAATAAATAAATATAAATTGCTTGTCATTGTTCACGTTGCGCCCTCTAAACCGTCAATTCCCATGCCAGCCAGCCCTAGCCCCACCCAGCCAGTAGCCAGCCCCCCAGCCCTTCCAACACCTCCCCTTAGCCAAGCCCTTCCAAGCCGCCCCACGCCCAAACCCCGCCCACCCTGCCCCCCAGCCCGGGCAGAGCTACTTCCTCCAGCCCCACTCCCTGCCCCCACCCCAAACAGAGCCAGATTCAATGTCTTTTTCACGTTGAGCTGAGTCAAGGCCTTCCAGCCCCCGCACGAACCCAGAGACTCCAATACCCCTTAATTAAGGAATATACCTTAAATTATAATAGGATCCCTAATATGATTTAAGGTATATTCCCTAATTAAGGGGTATTGGAGTCGCTGGGAAGCCCTCATCAGGCCCACC